TACAAAACATTAATGCAAAAATTGGCAGAAGCTATGGGCAAAAAATATAGAGCCAAATAACAAAACAAAAATTATATTAGTAGGTCCAAACGAGAAAAAAATATCATGATCTGTTTAAATTTAAGTCACGTGCCTGAAAATAAAATATTGAAAGACACTTTATTAGAGACTAGAAAATAGATTAAGATTTATGAAAGACATTTTTGAATTTAAGAAATTTGAGGGAGAATTATTTTTTAATTTGTGGAAACGTGAAGCTAGTATCAAATTTAAGAGAAATTATTTTGTACGGAGACCGGAAAGCAAGAACCATCCGGATTTGCTGCACTTTATCTGCTCTTTTGCTGTGCCTTTGCAAATACTCAGTATGCTTTTGCTACCCTTTTGTTGAATATTTGCAAAAGCGCAGCAAAAGGATAGCTAAAGCGCAACAAATCCAGACGATTCTCGTAGTCTGATCTCCGCACAAAATAATTTCTCCAAACTTAAAAAATTGTGATATGTTTCCAACCAAGACTACTCGATACATTTTTTTTTTTTCATCCAAAAGCCACTGAAAGGATGGCATAATAAACGCTTCACGATGAAACTTCACTTCTTCTCTATTCAAATTAGAACTTTTAGCCAATTTAAAATTTTTCAAAACAAAATAAAGAAAAAAAAAGGATAGATTTTCCTTCTTCTTTCAAGGAGAAATCACTTCTCCCTCAATTTCCTCAAAAACGAAGTGCATAAACAGCTAAAAGCAACAATTAGGTTCTATCAAATAAATTTCAGTGTCTTTTTTATTTCTTACACAACTTTTATTATAATATAAAAATTGCAATCATTGCAACCTGTAGAAGCTACATAACAGGTCCCTACTTTTTTTTTTTTATAACAAGTCCCTACTTATCATGGCTTGAACTTCTAAGGAGGGAACGAAAAGAAGGTCGCAAAATTGAAATTTCGGGCAAAAGAAAAACTAGACCTGGTTGGAACGCTTCATTGCCGCGGCCTCCCATCGCTTGGAAAGGTTGGCTGTGAAGCGAAACCGCCGCTTCGGGTTCTTTACTAAGCCGCAGAGATTCCGCCACCGCTGGAGCGCTTCCTCCGACGAGTTCTTCGACAGCACACCGCTGAAATTCTGGTTCAGGTAACTCTCCATATCCTCTTGCTTCTTCACCCCTGGTCTCCTCCCTCTCCCAGTCTCAACTCTTAATATACTCCTCGAAAAAAAGCTTCCTTCTACACGAAGATTCAAGAGATCGAGAAGGAGAAGAAGTTGTGTGGAAGGAGCGGGGCATTGGGGCGCGTGACGGAAAATGGAAACGGACCAAAGGCCGAAAAGGATGATGCGGTAAATGGGTCCGATAATGTCTCAAAATGGACGAGTATTCATGGAAGGAGCGATGAAAGGTTACATGGATCCGATAATGTCTCAGAAGGGGACAAGTAGGATTCATGGAAGGAGCGGTGGAAGAATTTCCTCGCGAATTTCAGGGGACTGCCCTTCTGAATCCTGAAATTTAGCTGGACGTGTGAGAGAACTTCTCCGAAAAACCTTCCGCAGAAAAATATCGAGCGAGACTTCGAAGTCAAAAATTACCGTATTTCCTTCTGATTTGCTTCGTCACTACTTCTCCCTTCCCGGGAATGAGACGAAGGATTACCCCCATTGCCGAATATATAAAGATATATAACGCACTTAGCACGTCAATAATTTTTTTAAATGTGCAATTATTTATTTAATATATTTTTTAAATTTAATAAAATAAGAAAATTCTATGATATACTTAATCAAATAATTCAAAATTATTTAATATATTTGATATATCATCAAAAAATTATTTTAATCGGGCACGAATCTCTAAGCATAATTAAGTTGAAAACTTTAAAAATTAAATTCAGGAGCATCTGAACTCCGATTTCAACAAACTTATAGTCGAACTAAACGTCTTGAAAATACGAACCCAACGACACCAAATTAGACTCAATCTGAGCCCAAATGAGTCCAAATCAAAGAGAAATGTATTTTAGTTTATTGAATCAAATAGTTACAGCTCGGTAGAATATAAATAGAGAAATAATGGTATAAGCTGTAAATATAGGTTTGTAAATACAAGTATTATGCTGTTCTTATATCGTCCCTCAAATTAAGCATTCGTGGGGCGAATGGTTAATTTGGTACGAAGCTCGTTGAACCGAGTGATAGAGAACGGCTTAGTGAAGATGTCGGCGACTTGATCTTTAGAGGATATGTGAACCAATTTGATGTCGCCGGCGCTGATCTGTTGACGAATGAAGTGGTAGTCGATCTCTATATGTTTGGTCCGAGCGTGGAAGACTGGATTCTTTGCGATTGCGATGGCTGAGGTGTTGTCGCAATGAATGGTTGTAGGATTCGGTTGTGGAAGATGAAGCTCGGCAGCCAGTCTGCGAAGCCAAACTACCTCCGAGTTAGCTGCGGAGAGAGACCTATATTCGGCTTCGGTAGAAGATTTGGCAACTGTCGCTTGCTTTTTCACAGTCCAGGATATGAGATTCGGGCCGAGGAACGTGCAGAATCCAGAGATTGATTTTCTGTCCGAGGAATCCGATGCCCAATCAGCGTCGGAGTAAGAGTGCAGCTCGAGGGATCCGGGGGAAATTGGCAGACCGTGCGAGAGAGTCCCATTGATATACCGGAGAATGCGTTTTAGATCTTTGTAATTTTGCTCGGTCGGATTTTGCATATGATGGCAGACACGGTTGGTTGCGAAGGCAATGTCCGGCCTTGTGATGGTTAAGTATTGCAGCGATCCGGCGAGACGACGGTAGAGCGTGGGATCAGGAAAAGGTTGAGTAGTCTGTCCGAGCTTTGTGGGTGAAGGAGCTATGGGGGTCGGTGCCGACTTACTATTCTCAAAGCCTGCATCAATAAGAAGTTTTGTGGCATAGTGTTGCTGAGATAGAAAATATCCATTTGTGGATTGAAGTACCTGGATACCGAGGAAGAGGGAGATGTTGCCGAGCTGTTTGAGAGCGAATTGAGACCGCAGCTGCTGAAGTAAGATTTGAATTGTGGTTGGATCATTTCCTGTTACTAAGAAGTCATCCACATAAATGAGAATAAAAATCAGAGAAGAATTGGAGTCAAGAATAAGGAGAGAGGGATCAGCGCGGCTGATTGTGAATCCTTTCGATTGGAGAAAGCTTGTTAGCTTTTGGAACCATTGGCGAGGAGCCTGCTTGAGACCATAAAGAGACTTATGAAGTTTACAGACCGCCGTGGGATTTTGTTGATCGACGAAACCGGGCGGTTGACGCATGTAAATGTCTTCCGGGAGATCGCCATGGAGAAAGGCATTGGCAATATCTAGTTGATGTATGGGCCAATTCCGATTGACAGCAAGAGCAAGAAGGAGACAAATCGTGGTCATCTTGGCGACGGGACTGAAGGTCTCATTGTAATTAATTCCGAATTGTTGGTTATAGCCGAGTGCGACCAAGCGGGCCTTGTATCTGTCTATGTTACCGTTAGGTAGTAATTTGATTTTGTAGGTCCACTTACATCCAAGTACCGGTTTGTTGACAGGAGGCTGAACTAGAGTCCACGTCGCTTGCTGTTTCAGGCCATTGAATTCGGTGAGCATAGCTTGCTGCCAGTGAGACGACTTAGCGGCCTGATTGTAGGTAGCCGGGGTGATAGAATTGTTACTGTGAGCCAGAAGATTGAGAATTTGTTTTGGTTTGTGAATGCCGGACTTGGATCTAGTCTGCATGGGGTGAGTGGGAGGTCCGTGCTGGATAGAGACAGAGGGAAGGAGGACGGTTTGAGAAGCTGGATGGCTGGCTGAAGAGATTGGATCGGGAGAAGAAATGATATTGTTGACAGAATTGCTAGGAGGAGAAGTGGTAACGGATTGAGGGGTCGTGTGTATGGGTTGAGCTGAAGTGGGAATTAGCAGAGTCGGAGGAATGTGACTGTCAGGTAGAGGAGTAGAAGTTCTGTCGGATGTGGTGATGGATTTATAAGGGAATTGGTGCTCGTAGAAAACAACATGACGAGAGATATGAGTTTTCCCTGTGGATAGATCATAGCATTTATAACCTTTGTGGATAGGGGAATAACCGACGAACACGCAAGCTTGAGATCTAGGAGAAAATTTATCGAAGATATAAGGTCTAAGCCATGGGTAGCATAAGCATCCGAAGGTGCGAAGAAGATGGAAATGAGGGTCTCGGCCGTGTAAGAGTTTGAATGGAATGCTGCCGGAAACAGCTTTGGAGGGGAGGAAATTGATTAAGTAATTTGCAGTAGATATCGCCTCCATCCAGAATTTATTAGGGGTCCCGGATTCTAACATGATAGCACGAGTGATATCGAGGAGATGGCGATGCTTACGTTCAGATAAACCGTTCTGCTCGGGCGTGTAGGGACAGGACAATTGTTGTAGAATACCGTGATCTTGTAAGAAGGTTTTAAAAGCGTGACTAGTGTATTCGCCTCCGTCATCAGAGCGAAGGATTTTAGGTGTGGTGTGGAATTGAGTGTGCACCATTTTACAGAAGTGTCGAAAGGTGGCAAGTACTTGATGTTTGGCGTGCAAGAAGTAAATCCAAGTGAACCTAGTGTGATCATCTATGAAGATGATATAATATCGGTAACCATCGGTCGAAGGGAAGGCCGTAGGGCCCCAAACGTCGGTGTGAATTAAGTCAAATGGTTTAGAAGAAACTGTAGTACTTTTATTGAAAGAGATCTTATGGCTTTTAGCCTTATTACAAGATGCACAAGAAATAGATTTGTTTACAGGAACTAAATCTTTAATCTGTCCTGCAAGTTTGATGAGCGTGTCGTGACCGGGATGTCCCAGACGCGAATGCCACGGAGGAGAAGGCCTGTTGATGACCGTAAGAGCCGTTGGAGAGCTGTTTCCGAGAGAGCTGATCTTGTACAGACCGTTATGAAGTCGACCAAGAAGAAGAGTTTGCTTGTCCCGAAGGTCCTTTATGATGAAACCGTTAGCATCAAAAGTAATAGATAAAGAATTGTCCTTAGTTAATTTGGATACAGAAAGTAAGTTGTGAGTAAGTTCCGGTACATGTAGAAGATTATGAAGGACAAGCTTACGGTTTGAGTCCGGGAGAGGAAGTAGACCCGGACCATTGTTGTATATGGGGAGTGTGGATCCGTTTGCTGTGGAGACGGTGTCCGAGCCTTGATAGGTGGTCGGGTACGTGAGATGAGAGATATCCGGTGTTAAGTGAGACGTGGCCCCGGTGTCGAGGACCCAATCTTGATTACCGGAGTTGTTCTGAGTGGCAAGAAGAGCGCGAGGCGGTCGAGAATCCGTCGGGGCGTATTTGGGATTGTTTCGATGCCAGCAGTTTAGAGCAATGTGGCCGACTTTGCCACAGATTTGGCAAGTCGGTCTAGCGAGATTCGTAGTGGATGGAAGATGCTGGATGTAAGTTGGAGTGACAGGGGTGTTCGAGGAGGTCTTTGGTTTGCCCGAGCGCTTGTTGTTGAAGGTGCGATTGCGGGAGTTGGTGGAGATGGCGGAGTAGAGTGCGGAAGCCGTGAGTTGTTCTTGATGAATTTCCTGCTGAAGATGAATGTCTTCGTTGCACAACATCGAGTAAAACGTGTCAAGGTCGATCGGGACGAGAGAGTTCCGAATCGTAGCCTTGAACGCATTGAAGGTAGGAGGTAGTCCGTTCAAGATATGAAGCATGATATCCTCCGAGTCGATTTGAGAGCCAGAGGCGGTGATGTTGTCGACGATGGTCTTAATGCGTGTAAGGTATTGTTGCATGTTCTGATCCTTTATCTGGACGCGATACAACTCGTTCTTGAGTTGCATTACGCGGGATCGGCTGGTGGGCTGTAGACGACGTTCAAGAACTGCCCATGCTTCGCTGGCAGTGGTGGTCGTAATGATGTAAGGCAGAATTGGTTGGGTTACCGTTGAGAAGAGAGCCGATAGGAGATTGTTATCGACGAGGCGCCATTGGGCATACTCGACAGAGGTGGTGTCGAGCGGAGGGGAAGCCGATCCGGTGAGGTGACCTTCAAAGCCGTTGGCCGTGAATTGTTGAAGAAGCTGTACACGCCATATGGGGTAATTTTCTATAGACAGAGGATGGGGTGCAAGATTTTTGATGTTAGAAACCAAGAATTTGAGGGCTGGAGGGATGTGGTTGTTTCCGATGGAAGCTTGAACAGAGGGGGAAGGGGAGGAGGGTGGAAGAATGTTCATTGATTCTTGTTCTCCCATTAGAGCTCTGATACCATGAGAGCATAAAAGGGAGACTCAAAACCAAGAAAGGAACAAGAAGACAATGCAGAAAGGAGAAAGAGAGAAATGTATTTTAGTTTATTGAATCAAATAGTTACAGCTCGGTAGAATATAAATAGAGAAATAATGGTATAAGCTGTAAATACAGGTTTGTAAATACAAGTATTATGTTGTTCTTATACTTTCCACCAGACTCTTCCTCGACCACTGTTGGACTTCCACCCGGTAGCCTACCGTCGCTGAATTTATACGCGACGCATGACTTCTGCCCGTCACTCGACTTCCACCTGTCGTTGGACTTCTGCGCATCATCAAACTTTCGTCAGACTTCTACCCAACGTCAAACTTCTGCCCATCGACGAACTTAATTCCAACCTCATCACTAGCCGACTACAGTCTTTCCGATCTCCTTCACAAGACAACATAATTTTTGACAACTGTCTCCTGCCGACTAC